AATTGGTTAATCACATCTTCTCTAAAGTAGAGTTGGACTCCTACTGTGTACTGGACACAAAAATCAAGTCTGGATGGGACTTAAATGTGAAAGGCAAAATTATGAAACATTTAGAAGATAACGCAGTCTGCTTTTTGATCTTGGAGTAGGGAAGGATTTCTCAAATGAGGCACAAAGACTTTAAACCATGAAGGATTTTATTAAAGTTAAGGCATTCTGTTCATGAGAACACATTCAAGAGGATGAAAAGACAAAACCCAAACTGGGAGAAGATATTTGTCACTCATTGAACAGAGAAAAGCATCTACAGATTCAAAATGACAAGAGAAAGGGAGGAGGAAGAAAGCAGGAAAGAAAATGGTCAGAAAACATGAGCAAGTATTTCACCGGAGAAGAAAATCAAGTGTTCTGTAAACATAAGCAAAGGCGCTCTGTCTCGCTACTGAGGAGGGACGCGTAAAGGAAAACCCCGGTGAGCTGCAGTTGCACAGTCAGCAGACTGGGGCTGCCTGCCTTTTAAAATTTTTACCAGATATTCATGAGGCTATGGAATGAGGGAAACATTTATAACCCATTTGTACTTTGGAAAACAATTTAAAGATCCCTGGTAAAGTCAAACATGTGCAAACTACACCACCCAGAGTTTCCATCCCAGATTAGCCAGGGAAACTCATATCTGTCCAGCAAGGCAGGGGTCCTCAACCCCTGTAGCCTAGGAACCCAGCCGCACAACAGGAGGTGAGGTGAGCTGCAGGCTGAGAAGCTACATATGTATTTACAGCCGCTCCCCACCACTCGCATACTGCCTGAGCTCCGCCTCCCGTCAGATTAGCAGAGGCACTGGGTTCTCATAGGAGCACAAACCCTATTGTGAACTGTGTACGTGAGGGATCTAGGTTGAGGGTTCCTTATGAGAATCTAATGCCTGATGATCTGTCACTGTCTTCCATCTCCCCCAAATGGGACCATCTCGTTGCAGAAAAATAATCTCAGGGCTCTCACTGATGCTACATTATGGTGAGTTGTATTTCATTATATTTTACAATGTAATGGCAATAGAAATAAAGTACACAGTAAGTAATAATAATGTGTTTGAATCATCCCGAAACCATCCCCCACCCCCAGCCCCAGTTCCCTGGAAAAATTGTCTTCCACAAAACCAGCCCCTGGTGCCAAAAATGTTTGGGACTGCTGTAGTAGGGGACATGTACACAAGAACGTGCATAACAGCGTTGTAAGAGCAAAAAGAGGGGTGGACAGAAAGAACGCCAAAGTCCACCTGTAGGAGAAAGGACTTACACATTGTTTTTACAGTAGAATACTATATAGCAATGAAAATAGATGAACTACAGCTATAAACAACCATATGTATAAATCTAACAGATATGAGATTAAGTAAAAGAAACCAGTCCAGTCATAGAAGAATGGACAAAGTATGAGGCCATTTGTATAAGGTTCAAAACTGGGTAAAACTAAACAGTGTATTGCTTAGGAATATGTACATTAGAAATAAAACTGTAGAAGAAATCAAGATAATGATTAATAGAAACTTCAGCATAATGGTTACCTCTGGTTGGGAATAAGGGAAATGTAATAATGAATTTAGCACGAGGAGGTGTATGAGATGAATTGCCTCTCCCTTCCCCGCAGCAAATTCCTATATTGATATCCTAACCCCGGTACCTTAGAATGTGACTGTATTTGGAGAAAGACCCTTTAAAAAGGCAATTAAAGTAAAATGAGGTCATATGTGTGGCCCCTAATCTGATATAGCTGGTGTCTTTATAAGAAGAGATCAGGACACAGACATACAAAAGGCCATCTGTGGACACAGTAAGAAGGCAACTGTCTCAAAGCCGAGGAAAGAGGCCTCAGAAGAAACCAAACCTGCCAGTGCCTTCATCTTGGACATCTAGCTCCAAAGCTATAAGAAGATAAATTTCTGTTGTTTAAGCCACATGGTCTCTGGTATGTGTTATGACAGCCCCACCAAACTAGTACAGGAGGCTTCTAAGATTGTAGAAATAGTCTGCTTTTTCAGTTGGGTAGTAGGTGCCCTGGTGTTTATTTTATTGTTGTTTTCCAAATTGTACTTATACATTTTATATACTCTTGGGTGTACTTTCCCAATTAAAAAAAAATAGAACAACAATTACTGCCAAAACATTCCTGGCCCATTGATTAGCATTTAATTGATTTATTCAGCAAGTGCATTTCTTTAAGCATTCAATAAAAGACACAGTTCCATTAGGGTAATCAATACATCATTTTTAAGAAAAGGAATGCCATATTTTACCAGTACTACTCCATCATCTCCAATAGGTAACAATCAAAAGAAAATGGAATGAATACATGCTTTTAAGAAGTCTAAGGCAATTAGTGGGCTTAAATTAAAATAGCTGTCTGTTCTCCCTCTCTATTGATTTCTCCTTTACTAGTCATACCTCAACTAATGTACATAAAGATCTTCCCTGAAGGAAAATATATTCTTCTGCAAGATGTTGACATTGGACTCTCATAACACTTCTAGTGCTTTATGTGGAATTACTACAAATGTTAATGCTTAAACTACCTCAATTCTTTGGGGGAAAAGGGATGTTGCAAATAATACATTTTTATTCACATATAAAATTGTCTGGATTTCCATTTAAGGTATGTGATCTCTGCATTGATATCTTAGGCAAAGACAATTTGTAACTAAAGTAACTAAGTTATGTATATATACATACATATGAAACGTAGTTATACACATACATGTATACATACGTATGGTGTTTGGGCACATTTTGACAGAATATTGAGAACGTATTTTGTTCTAATATTTTGTAAATATAATTAATAATCTTGTTTTTCACACATATAATTAATGAGTGCATATTGCAAACCCTGGAGAGAACATTATAGAAGCGTTCGTGGTTCAGCCCGGGTGTCAGCAAGTATAGGTAAATGTGCAAGAGTCCCTGTGATGGACTCGAAAGCAAATACCTGCAAGAGCATAAGAACACTTTGACAGCCTACACTACAAAGAAATGGTGTATGTTTCTTGGCATGTAGGATCAAATAGTAAGATTAATTTCCAAATTTGAGTAAACACTCAGAAATGCATACAGTTCTTATAAACACCAGACAGTATCAAAATATATAAATTCGGTGTGTTTTTGTAGTCTTTTGCTAGAGTAAATCCATCAAAAACAAGGCCTGTGTAAACCCAGGAAACATACGTAAGAATTTCACGTATCTGGAAATTCACCAATTTAACTCTTAAGTTTAAGCAACTACATAAAATAATGTCATCCTTCAATGAAAATTGAGAAAGAACCTCCTTGAAGCTCATAAGAAAAAACCCTTGGGTTTGTACCTATTTTTATCTCCTGAAGGCCCTGAAATTTAAAATAATCTATTCCTCAGGCAAGCAATTGGATGATGTAAGTTTTAGGTCTTTGTCACCAGCTCAGAGCTGTCCAATAGAACATTCCATGATGATAGAAATGCTTTTATATCTGTGCTGTCCCACAGTGGTGGCCACCTGCCACACTGAGTTATTGATTCTTGAAATGTACCCAGTGTGACTGTGAACTAATTTTTAAATTTCATTTCATTTTAATTAACTTAAATAGCCATACACAGCTAATGGCTACCATGGGAGACACAGAAAGACTACAAGAAGATATGCAAAGGGCTGCCCTAAAAATAAAGCAAATGATGTTTCAGCCTTTCTGATTCGAACCCAGTTATATGGCCTTAGTTAAGGCATGTTTCGCCTTTTTTCCCAAAACTCATGTGACCTTCAGTTGTTGTGGGTTTTCTTTAAATTCTGTTTCATTTTAACTAACTATTTTCATGTTGGATATTTGGAACCCACAGACCATTTCATCTTAAAGTGTAGTGGCATGTGGTTAATTAAGTCATGGTATAGCTGAAACATTATACATATTGTGAAAAGATCTTTTGCGCTCTGGAGTTATAAGACCGACTTTCACATATGAAATATTAGAAAACTATGTCTAAACTTCTCATTCTCATAGCTTTTATACAAGCATAGTACTGAAATAACTGACAAAGCAAAGGCAGACAAAGTCAATGTAACTGAAGGAAGCACTAATTGAATGTGGCGGTGATCATGTCTCAGCAAGACTGAGTCTCCACGTTCCGCACTCATGCGGTGCTGACCAGGAAGAATGAGGTCTCCTTGAGTTTGTGGTGCCTGTCCCGACCCAACTCTCCCTCCACTCTTGTCTTCTTTTTCTTTTTTTCTTTTTTTTTTTTGAGACGAAGTTTCGCTCTTGTTGCCCAGGCTGGAGTGCGGTGGCGCGATCTTGGCTCACCACAACCTCCACCTCCCAGGTTCAAGCAATTCTCCTGCTTCAACCTCCTAAGTAGCTGGGATTACAGGGGTGTGCCACTGCATCAGGCTAATTTTTTGTATTTTTAGTAGAGATGGGGTTTCATCATATTGGCCATGCTGGTCTTGAACTTCTGACCTCAGGTGATCCACCACCCACCCCCCATCGACCTTCCCAAAGGGTTGAGATTACAGGCTTGTTTTCTTTTTTTGAGACAAGGTCTCACTCTGTCACCCAGGCTGGAGTGCAGTAGCGTGACCATAGCTCACTGCAGCCCGAACTCCTGGGCTCAAGTGATCCTCTCGCCTCAGCCACCCAAGTAGCTAGGACCTCAGGCACAAACTACCACACCTGGCTAATATTCTGACTTTTTTTTTAATTTTTATTTTTTTGTAGAGACAGGGTCTCACTATGTTGCCCACCTAAGCTGGTCTCAAACTCCTGGACTCAAGCAATCCTCCAGTGCCTGGCCTTCACTGCTCTTTTTAAGCTGCTAAGAAACCTTAGTTTATACACCGTGTTGTGATGGCATTTGGCTCTATCTTAGGTTGACCACATCATTTATTCTCTCAGTTGACTACTCCTGTGGGTCTTATTCAGCTATTTGCAAGTCAAAGCCAAGTGTTTTTCAACTGACTTTTCTTGTTTATCTTTTAGAATCATCCAGAAGTGCTGAATATTCGAATACAACTGGAAAGCAAAGAACTGATCATAAATCTGGAAAGAAATGAGTAAGTTAATTCTTGTTTATTGCTTGATAAGAGAAAGTTAAGGCACCATGGACAGAAAAGTGCTCTGTGATTTATGTTGGGGTTTAGAAAACAAGAACGAGATGCATGGATTTGTAATCCAAATTTGGATTTGAGGCCAGAATTAACTTTAAAAATTTATCTAATGGAAAAATAATTTTATCACTCTGTAAAGGAACTTTATAACTCAACACTATTTTTTCATAGTTCTGATGTTTTGTTTTTTTCAGAGCCTGGTTGTTCAAAGATTTAACTTAAGCATCACTGTACTGTTCAAACAACAGAGTTTCATAATTAATTGACTTTTGACAACTCCTGGATTATATTAGGGGAAACAGCTTCAAACTGATAGAAATTATCTTCTCCCTGAGAAATACCAAGAGTTTATTTTATCTTTCAAAGCTTATCTCCAGTGGTTTGGACTATTTCTTTCATCTTCTTATTTTTAAAAATTGGTCCTTTTATGGAAAATTATATAAATTTCCAGAAAATGGCATTATGGCTTCTTCTGGGCCACTTGGATACGATTATATATTTTGTGTGCCTTCCTAGCAGAAAACTTTGTCTGCCTCCAACCATAAGTAAAACAACTCATTTTCTTATTCTTTATGCCCTGGCTATCCCCACAGATTCCTCAGATTTAAAGGACTCCTTAATATTCTATTTCATTTGTACCATAAAAGAAGAACTTATTAGTTCTTCTAATAAGATAGAAGTCAATTTTCCAAGTCCTGCTTGGTCAAAATAGCAGTTTCTCTCTTCCAAAAATACTGGTTCCTGTTCCTCACCCATCAGCAGGATGCTGATTTTTTCTGAAACAAGAGTAGAGGTCGCAGAACCTCACTGGGATGAGTTCTGTCAGGGACATGGAGTCCCAGAACCTGACTCAATATCGTCCTCTAAACAAGTCAGATCATTTACTTGTGTTGGTGCTTTGATTTGAGCATTTTAAGCAAGTCAGATGAAAGACACAGTCAATCAACAGCCAGCCTGAATGTTCAATATCTAATGCCAAAATATATAAAAATGTATGTAAAATCACACCACCTGCTCCCTGGGATCTGCAACCTGCCTCTTTGTGTTTTTTTCTTACATGCTTACTGCTCACCATTAAATGGATCAGAAGCTTTGGAAACAAGAAATGAGGTGTTTTTAGCTTTTCTTGTGACTTGATCTTAAAATAGAGGTTCAGGAACATACATTATATAATCAGGAATCTGAAGAGAAAACTGTATATTGCTTTTGATCCATCTCCCTTAGCAAAGTACATATTTTCATGCTCTATTTCTTTATGTAAGAATATCGAGGGGCACACATTTTTGTACATTTTTAGGTATGGTTTTGAAAATATCTCAGTGGAAGAAGCTAGGCGTTCCCTGAAAGATCAAAAGAATAAAAGCCTTCTGGTGGTGATGCATTTTCTCGATAGGGTTGTTGTGGTGGCCAGCTGGATTTAGGAGTGTTCTTTATTGCACCTGCTCCCATTGTTAGACTGTTGGAAGAAACGTGGTGCGCAGTATGAGGGGAGGCTCATCCTAAATGTTTTATGGAGCATTACAACTGCAGGTAGAGAAGCAAAAATCGACCTCATAAAAACCTTAAGTTGTTTTTACTATGAAAATAATATACATACCCAGTGAAGAAAACTGAACATTATAGGTGGGAAAGGAACAAATAACCCTAAATTTTTTTAAAAAGTACTTTCACCACCAAGCACAATCCTGTTTAAGATTCTGGTGAATTATATAGATGGGTTTTTTTTTTTTTTCTTATAAATAAGCCTTTGCTTCTTTTCCTTCTTAGTTGATATCATAGTCTATATGCAATTTTATATCCTACTACTTCATTTAGCTTCATAATGGACATACATTTCCATAGAGAAATAATTTCTCAGAACCCATCTGGTTCTCTGAGTTTGTAAAGTGACTTAATAGCCTTATCCATGGTTCCCTCTGAAAATGATTTACCTTCCATTACTGCAGATACTATAATACATGTTCACTGCTAGATAGTAGCTAATTTGTATAAGTATCATTTTAAACGGTGACTTAATTTGCTGCCTTTCAATTCTGAGTCTTTCACGAGATAATCTCAAAATTATAAAAGTTGAAAACATAAAACTATCTCTTTTTAATTTATTCCTCTCTTTGCAACCTCACTGTCAGACTGCATTTTCAAAAATATATAGAAAATGTTTCATATGTTCCTGTGATATTCTATAATTTTAATTGTATTACTTATACCAATTTTAGAAATTCCATTATATTAAAAGTAACATTTTCATAATAAGAGGTGCCAATATTACCATTTTACCGATGCATTACCAAAAATACTTCAGTGTAACATTTTTTTTGCAAAAGGTTACATATCTATTCCGAATTAACTATACCTTAGATGCAATGAATACTAAAAACAGAAAAAAAAAATCAAGTAGGCTGAAATGCTTGTGCACTACTAGCATGTAAGGCTGTTAGACGCTAAAGGCAATCAATCATTTAGTATATAATAGAATTTTTAATTTGCTTAGCCATTGGCCCAATAGATTCAAGTCAGAGAGTTTTTACAAATGAAACTATAAGAAACCAGAGATAAAAACATAAGCAGAGGCCATTTACATGTTTAACAATGAGTACAATAAAGGCCCTGACCAATCAGGATGAACAGCCGACCAATCTGACCAATCAGAAGGCAGGCTGGTCAGTACACTGCTCCAACACCTTCAGCCCCAGAGTCAGCCCTGTGCTTAAAGATGTTTTACCTAAAAGTACGTCAATAGGAGACTGATTCAATTATCAGCTATGAAACACGATACCATACAACAGTTTTAAATGATGAGACTTTTATTATAAAAAAATTTATGGTATAATCAATGTAACTAGCATGTTTCTGCTAGTGTTTATTTTTAAAAAATGAAAATAGTTTACATAGTATTCAATTTTTATTTTAAAATTATACACATGACATGTATTTCTGAGTAGGAAGATTATAGAAGATATTTGCTTTCTTTATTGTATTAATGTTTCACAAAATAAAATATTTTAAAATTAGGAAAAAACATTTTTCTTTTGAAGGAAAAAAAAAAACCTATCTTAAAAACTTGATAATGGTTGAAAAGAAGAATGCTAACGTATCTATTATTCCTAAAAAGAAAATGATAAAGGTTATTCTGAAAGGCCTCTGGAAGGCCTCTGGTGACTTTTAAAGAGCAAAAAATTACCTACTCATTGAATATTGGGTCTTTAAATATCCAGAAGTTTGCTGCAATTGAAAAACCTGCTTAGAAACCACAACCTAAATTAAAGCGGTCCTATTCCCTTAAATCTGTAGCTAATGCTGAGAGTCATCTAATTAACCCCACTCAAAATGCTTCTGTGGTAAACCGATTCTTCATAGCACAGGGCTGAATTTTTATTAAATAGTTTTTCAGGGAATCTCTTTTATTTGCCTTCTAACATCCCTAATTTATGAAAAGACTGGATGCTGTTCACTTAAAATCTGTATTTGTATAGCTGTAATTGAATGTTTAAAGAAACACAAAGCTTCCCCTGAGAAGCATTTTTCACAATATTGCTGTCTGCCTATGGACCTGCAGAAACCAGGTTGATAACTTTTCTAACTCTGCTAGATCCCCGTGGACTCTCAGGCCATCCCTTACACAGGTATTCGGTGAAACTATATCTTTGATCAAAATGTTTTATTGGACAGGCTGGCCAGCTTCAACATCAGTTTTTCCAGTTTAGGATAATGAAGAGTGATGGCGGTAGATCATGTTCCCTGCATCTCTCAATCCCAGCATGCCTTCAAACTCTGTTCCCATCACTGATTGAAGGCAGTTGCCATGGGAAGTCCATAGCCCTCTGAATTTATGTTTGGGGTATCTCTGGGATAGAATAACTTCAGCACTGACTTATTTTGTCTAAAACGATTCCAGACATCTCTTACGGGGCAACTTTAATTAGTATTCACTCTAAAACAATAACAGAAAGGGCATTTTAAAATGGCCAAACATGGGTATAAATATTTGGAAAGGCATTTATCTTAGATCATCTCTCAGAATATCATGATACAGAATGGAGAAATGTAACCAGTGTGGAGATGGCATTAGATGGTTTAGTTGGCTGAATCACCATCCAGAGGACATTAGGCCATTGTTCCCATTGACCCAACCCATGTTGAAGAGGGGGACTGAGGTTGCTGCCGATGGCCTTAGGGCTGTGTGCATGGCCTTTTCCTGGCCCACAGTTTCCTGGGCCATCGCGATGAAGACATAAAAGGTGCTCTGATCACATTTCCTGGCAATGCAGAGCTGGGGGACATAACTGTGCTTGGCATGGCAAAATCTGGATTATGAGGATTTCAGCAGTTTGGATCAATGGGCCAAAACTAACAAGATGAGATTTAATGGGGATAAATGTAAAATCCTACACTTGGGTTAATAAAAAAATAAACGTTGCAAGTTCAGAAGGAAATTTGTTAGTAGTTCTCGTGAATGAGACCTGCATACTCAAAAGAAGCCCCTGGGGCAACGTGGCTGCTAAAAAGGTGACTGCTGCCTGAGCATGTGGGGGTATACATGGTGGGTCCTAGACAGGGGAGGTCATCCCTCTGCTACACAGGGTGGGGCACAGTCAAAACCCTGCATCCTTCACTGTTCCAAGCCTGACATCAGAGAGCCACCTGCTGCTTTATTCTCATTTCCACCATTGGGTGTTCCTTTCCTTTCCTCCTCCACCAACCATGACATCCTTACAGTGAGGGGTAGGGTCTTAATATCCACCTCCCACATAGCGTGGCTCATCATAGGCACTCGATAAGCACTCCTCAAATGACTGGAGAGCCTGGACAACCTGGACCAAGCTGGAAGTGAGTTCCCAGGAGGTCGAAGGTCACCTGGGTGAGGTGAGGAACAATTCAAGTAGAAAAGCCTCCAGAAAGGAACACATGATTTGGAGTTAAGAGCCCAGGCTTTGAAAGCAGCATTG